TCTTTCTTACCCCGCCAGGCTTATCCTCTTCCCCAACCATCGGTCCTGAACCGTCCCCCGCAACGGCCAATATCATGCGGACAGGCCACCTCCCCACTCCAGCTCTCGGATGCATATTAGAGATTGAGCGAGCAATTAAACACATATGTCGATCCCCTGCTATGAAGGAGCGTGTATGCGAATACATACAGACCGAGGTACGCTCCACGCCATCAGGGACCTCGACAGTGATCTAAGCTTTGAATTTATTACAGGACTACCTGAAGGCTATCGTCGATGTATTCAAGCAAGCCGAAGACCTCGAGCTCATTCAAGATCTGCATGCGTTAAATACTTGTATGAACACTATACGTCAGTATCTTATTATGCGCATAGTGGCCCCTTCGATTGATTCTGCCTTTCAGTTATGCTCAATGACCATAGCATGTACGAACACATCCTTGACGATGAACTTTTCTTCGGTGTTGTTGGCATGCTCGAATGTGCGTCTCGCTGTCTGTGACACCTACTGTAAACCTCACCATTCGCGTTAATTAGATGATCCAGAGTTCCCTACCTACAAGGCGAACTATCGCGAGTTCCTGCGACAAACATCACATTTTCATCAACCGATACCTATACGAGATGAAACGATTCAGAAGAAGGTTCACCATACATACCGACTTCAGTTCCTAAAGGATGTCGTACTGGCACGGGCCATCGATGATTCGACCTTCAACGTCCTCAACTCGTGTATTCTCTTCAACCAGATCGACATCATCAACTACGTTCAGAATGATCCGGCTTTCCTCCGTGAAGCAGTCGGGATATTCCTGAATGAAGAAATGTTTGTGCAGCTTGAGGGGCTCAGAACCGAAGGCGCAAAGCATCTCAAAGGCGGTGACACGATGGAAGTAGACACCTTGGGGTCTAATGATACAGGTCCTTCAGCAAATGTCCCCGGGAAACAGCCTGCAGCGAAAGAGCGAGAACTTCAGCTACGGAGAGATGTCGTCCTGCTTATTCAACAGCTGTGCGTCATGGGGAAGAATGTACAGCTTCCAGCGAGGATGGCACTTTTCCGTGCTCTTTCCGATCGTGGTATCTTGTTTGCCGTGCAATGGGCTCTCGGACAACCTGAGGGCAACGAGCAGGGTCTACACATGATTTGTACCGGGGGAGAGATTCTTACAGCTCTGCTTGACCATGACCTGAACGGCGTCCGTGGCCATATACTAAAGCAAATTGGCCAACCAGGAGAAGACAAGAACTCTAGGAAGCCGGACACCGATACCCTGGTATCCCTCATGTGTCGGGTACTCACAAGAAGCCGAGACATGGGAGTTCAGAGTCAAGTAGGCGAGTCATTGCGAGTCCTCATGGAGATTCCTCAGGGTGAAGCTGCCGATGCGCACGTAAGTCTTCCCGTCATCCTGTTGTTGTAGAACGCATCTTAATGTGACTCGCTATATTACAGCCAGTAATAGGTGCGAAGTTTTTTATGCGTGCAAAAGACGATCCCGGAGTCGAGCGTTTCCTGGAGTACTTCTACAAGACATGCGTTGACGTCCTATTCCGGCCCTTCCACGACGTTCCCGAATTCAAGTCTCTCACTGGTACGTTTCGAATACCTCCCCTCCTACTTCCGACAACTAAATTTCGCTTAGACCCAGTTCTCCATTTCTCTCGTGAACGGACAAATCTCTACCTACATCTGTGCGAGTTGCTAGCCAACTTCGCTGCTCAACACTCCTTCCGCAGTCATTTTTACATGCTATCTTCTAATATCGCCTCCCGCATGGGCTCTCTATTGCGTGCTAAGGACAAACACCTACGGCTGGGTAAGTATCCTACGACGTTTTGTGTGTATATATATTCATCGGGCCACTGTACCAGCTGCTTTCCGCTTCTTTCGAGTAACACTCAGGCTCAACAACCGCAATCTTTTCACACATCTCATCAAACTTGATGCCCTGAAACCCGTAATCGATCTAACAGTGCAAGAATCTCGCCGAGACAATCTGCTGAGCTCCGCGTGTCAGGAGTTCTTCGAATCTATGCGAAAGGTATTGGTCAGTTATAGTAGTTGAGACGCTGAGACTAACTGATTTGGATGGCAGGAGAACCCGAGGGAACTGATTGCGTATTGCATGACGAAGCACGAGGACAAGATTCGACTTCTCTCAGAGACCCCTCTAAGTGGCGTGCAATTTAAGCAGTTCATACGCCGTCATGAGATGAACATTGAGCCGCCGCCGAAGGAAGAGGAGAAAGTTGACAAGTACGTAACGCACAATCGGCAATATAGAATAATTGCTCACCGTGATGTCAGATCACCGAATGTTAGTTTACGCCGTTGGGGCCAAGGACGCTTACTCGAGGCAGAAGAAGAGTCCTACTTCAATACAGATGACGACGAAGACGATGCGCCAGTCAATCTCTCGAACTTCCCGAAGTTAAACAATCCGTCACTCAAGCGAAAACGTGCCCTCAGCGTGCCGATGCGTTCACAAATACAACGGCCTCCCATGCCTGTGGTTATCCCTTCCCTGGGTAGTTTGGTGGATTACGATGACGGCGAGGATCTTGGAGGCTTCGAAGCTGCAGAAGACCCACCGCTTGCTATTCCTCACGACACCTCTCAGCGAATACAAGGCTCTCCAGGACCTGAAGTACCAGCCACCCCCAAGTTGATCAATCGTCCGATAACTAGCAACAACCCGTCAAGTACCCTTCCACCTCTAGGAACCGAAGATCCAGAGGATAGTCTCCTCGAGAGTCTTCTATCAAAATCTGACTCATCTCGACCTCCTGAACTTGGATTGGGCGCTAAACGGCCTCGAGACGATGAGGATGACGAGCTGTTAGCAATAGCTACCAAGGCAAAGCGACAGAGCATGGGCACTGCAGGTGGTGTACCTGGGAAGGATGCGGGAAATGGTGGGCCCGTGGTGGTCAAGCTCGGCGGTATGAAGACATCAGAGGATGGTCCAAAAAAGATCAAGCTAAAGTTGTCTTCACCGAGCTCTACTACCCCGTCACCTTCAAGTACTGGCGTGAAGGATGGGGATACAGGGTAGTGGTGTTATCTTCTGTTGCTTGTTGTAATGCTCTGTAGCGTATGTCGGATTATGTCAGTACTCTTTAGAATCCATTAGGTTGCTTTGTTGTTATAACTTATTCGTTGAAGTTCAAACTACAAGATGTTGATGTTGAGGAATTACGATTCGTTGTTTCAGCTTGAAGACGAGTATTGCAGGCATTTTAGGCTGAAGTTGGTTCGGTTCGATTTTATTCGATCGCGATGTTGGCTGACTAGTCACTACGTGTGTGACTTGAAGGACGTTCTTTTGAGCCAACCGCGTCAAGCTTCATCTTGGGTAACCAACTTGTCCCGAACGTTGACGTCCTCAAGTCACTCGCCGACATCGTCCACTCTTTCAAACATTCAAGATTGGCGGCGAGAACAGAGATTGTCTTATAGCAAGTAAACTATCTAACAACATAGCTGGTAAGTCAGATGCTCAGCGACGGCATTCATCAGCAAGGCTGAAGTGCTAGGTCTTGCAACAGAAGACCGTCCCACTGCGCCTAGCCATCCCCTTCTCTTTTTGCCCTACATACTGCAGTACGCTACATCATCAGGCGAGAAATATCCGTCTCTGCGAGATTGTAGCCACCGGCCTTAATTTCCGCAAACATCAACCTCGTTTGTCATGGACAGACTCGGGCTACAAACTTCAAGAAATCTCCTTGTCATGGACCCTTTGAGCACACTTCACTCTTGCGATGCACAGCGTCCGCCCATGATTCTGGAGATTCCTATGGTGCCAACAAGCGACCGTCCTGTCTTTTCTCCCCCATTGGCACCTCTCACTAGTTCTGTTCCAACAGTTATGTCTAGTCACATTCTTAACTCTGGTTCACTCTTTCTTGGCTTGTTTACGGTATTTTCTCTCTTGGCCTGGAAAGCACGCACGGGGCGCAAGATGATTATGAAAGTCAACGAGGAATCCATCCCTAGCACCCCAGCGCGGAATGCAACCCAATACCTCACCACCAGTCAGGCTGAATCCGATGGATCTTTGTACAATAATTCTAGCGACCTCGACGATACCTTCGATGAACCATCTCTCTTGTCTCCTACTAGTTCTGGCTACTTCACGACTCCCTCTTCCCCGAAGATGCTAACAACCAGCGAATTGCCGTCCCCCATGTCTCTCTCGATCGACAGCCCTGCGTTACGGCACATTTGGAAGAGTAATGCCACCAAAACGGCCGAGATAGCTTACAAGAAACGTCGTATTGCAATGGTTTCAAAGTTACAACGTTGGGCTGCCAAGCGCCACGAACAAGCTACTCAAGAAGCTCGGTCCTTGAAACTCTCGGTCTCTGGCTCTCGTGAGGGACTGAAGATGGCTGTCAGCAACTTTGGCAGTGATGATGGCCTTTCGTCCCTCGCGGCCTCCGTGGACGACTTACCGAGTGGTTCGTTTGGATCCGATAGGTCTGTAAGCCCGAGAGCGGCTCAGAAGCTTCGTTTTCGCAGAGAGGGACTGAAGGCGAGGGCACGGGAGGTTGAAGCTGTGCGGGCAGCCTTGCGCGTATAGTGACGAGCTGTGAGGAGCACGGACTTGTGCGAGAGTGGATTGTCCCCTAGGTCTGAATATATACCCAGCGCCCCTACTAGTATGGCGATGTAGACTCCGATGGTACTCTATGCTGGAACCGAGAGTATGACCTTTACGCGTTACGTCCCGACCATGCCATATGCTGAACTTTTGTGAAACGAATTGGAGCAAGTTGTCAGTGGCCACAGGGTGTCCATGTCCATGTCCATGACACTAATGGGCTCGGAAATTAACAAATCCTGATACAAGACGCTCCGCCAGTACCAGCGAAGTCGAACTTTCCTAGGATAATCTGCAAGTGCAGTACTCGAGTACATACAGTAGTCGGGGTAGTCAGGCAAGGCTGATATAAAACTATAATATATACTGATTTGATAACTATACATGTATGGCTACCTGGCGCAATGGTAGCGCGTTTGGCTTCGATTGCCTCACGAGCTTAAAAGCACACCAAAAGGTTGCAGGTTCGAGTCCTGCGGTGGTCATTTTTTCCCTACATGCTGAAGCACAGTTTGAGTTGCTTTTTCTCTCTCAATGCCTGATAATTTTAGCATTTCTGTGCAGTAAATATATACTAAAAGTATGAAATTTGGGCTGATTTGTCGGGTTTAAGTTTGTTACACAAGTCGAATCGACGAGCGCAGGCGGTGCGACCTCGTATCGAACTGTCTGTTCTTTGCTCGAGGCGTCTCTACAATCGCTCAGGCGATTCGAGCATTCTGAAGGGAACGTGGTGTGGGCGCCTGATCAAAACAGCACATCCGCGTCCGTTGCGATCGCCGCGGGTACCTTTCCTCGAGCTCAGGCTTTTCCCACTCATATTCTGTGCACCTTGTCGACCCTGGCATGGCCTCCTCGTCTCTTTTCCACCAACAACCGTTTGGACAATGTCCGACACGTTCTCCGGCTCACTTGCAGCGGTGACCCTCGACGACGTGCTGTATGGTGGCACTTGTGGCCCTATCTCCCTCAAGGACTTTGAGACGTTTCTCACTCACAAACAGCATTCGGTCGAATACCTACGATTTGTCGTCTGGTACCGGTCATACGTCTCACGTTTCTCGTCGCTGTCGCTCGAGCTACGGAATCGTAGTCCTCCCATTTCTGCATACGACGAGACCGACCTTGACTGTAAGCTTCCATCCCCAGCACGCCTGGCTCGCTTCGTCTCCCAGGCATCTTCCTCACAGTCTAGCCATGCTCTTTTTGGAACCACCTCTTGCTCCACGACGGCCACTCTCCTATCGTCGGCAGGCAGCCAACCTTTCCGTGCCGAGTGCGCGTCGGTTGCGCGTTCGTTTCTGGACTCTAACGCACCCTCGAGCATGATACTGAACATCCCGCCCGAGTTGGTTGATGCAACACTGACATATCTTTCCCACACAACCCATCCATCTGTCTTTCATCCTGTCTACCAACTCTCTTGTGAGATGCTCCAGATGTCTTCGCTGCCATTCTTTCTCGCGGAGGCAGCGCCAAACATCAATCGCGAAAAGCAATTGTACTGGTGGCTATACGGAGCATTCAAGTTTCTGTTGGGTTGGGCGGTAACTATTGGATGCCTGTTCATCCATAAGAACGAGAGTGGCAAACCTGTTCCCGTCCGTCAGCGAGCGTGGAGGTTGTGGGCGGTACCGTTCTTGAGTTTGGGCGGTATGCAGATGTATTCGGCATATCGAGGGTACGTGTTTGATTTGAGTACGGTAGCGATTATGTCTGATATAGATTGGCAGATTCTGTTATGAGGTGTGGGGTCGAGGTGCGATGCAATTGAGACCTTGGGAGCCGGTAGCTCCACCCCTTGAGCATTCCACCGGTACTCCAGCTGTTGATGGAGAATGCTGTAGGACAGCACACACAGTAACACAAGAGAGTTCGTCTTTGAAAAATGGCGATAAAGAGTGCCTTGGTGGAATCGGTCAAATAGACATCAGCTTAGCTCGCTACGATGACTTCGACCTCAATATCGACTCTCCTGGGCCTGTCGTACTCTCCACGTCGTCAGTATCCCCAAATACGGAGAAAAAAAGTCTGCCGGCCATCGTTACTTCTGGCCATCGTGACCATTGGTCCTCACCGCCAGCCAGTCGTACTCTCGTTTCATCCGCAGTCACACACGCACAACGCTGCCATTAGCCTTCACCTCCCGTCACTCCTTCTTTGAACGCGCTACCCTTACCAGAGCTATCGACTCGTGTCAGAATATCTGGCCCTGAGCGTGTTGTTACGAATCTGAGGGTTCGGGCGGTGCATAAGAAAATGATGAGGGACATCCTCATTGTAGGGTTTGTGTGGGGAACACTGTGGATGGTTGTGATTCTCTGCCTTCCTTGGGGTCGGTAGTGATAACCCTGGACCGTCGAGTGAGGGCTTTGTATCCTTAGGATGTATTGGGTTGCGATAGTTTGGATAAATTTGTGTATTTTTATCATTGATGTTTCTCTAGATAGCTAAAGATATGGAAAGTAGTATTACAACAGGATTGCAGTTAGTTTATAACATTTTCATAACTGCAGAGAAAACTACAACAGTAACTAGTGCTAGCGTCTCCAACCTACTGCATGCGTGCATGAACACAGGTTTGATTATTCTGGAGTAATCGAACACATCACCGCGGAAGTGGCGGATACTACTCGTACTCGTTCGTTCGTTTACCCTCTACCACCATCTTACTCTTGTCGCCATCGTGTTCACTCTACAGCCATGGCCTTGAACTGGGCGATGCTAGATGCCAGTCGGTCACCCGTCCCACTTCCCCATGAACTCATCGTACGCACCGTCTCGGCTGCAGATGTATCTGTCACAGTACCCAACGCACCACCGACATCGACATCTACATCTGGAGGCTCAGGAGGGACAAGAAAGCTCACGGGGAGTGGGAAGATATGGCTCACCGATAATAGGGTATATCTGCTTGAACTCACGGTACAATAATGTACTCACCGTCTCTATTTTAGCTGATATTCGTGACACACGACGCCCCTCCGAAGGGCGCAGAGTCTACTGCGTTCGACTCCCTGTCAGTACCTCTGGCGGCGATTCTATCTACGAAGTTTGAGCAGCCGTTCCTTGGCCAGAACTACTTGGTCGTGGAGATTAAGCCCGCTGCCGAGGGCGGGCTCACCAATGGTACGAAGGCAGAGATCAGGCTCAAGGACAAGGGGCTGTTCGAGTTTGTCAGTGTTCTTGAAAAGACTCGCGAGCGTGCGATTTATATGAAGAGGTCAGGGGCAGATGAGGAGGAGGGTCTACGTATGTTTGGTTCCCATTTCAGTGTGCTTATCAAGGAGTCTAACGCTATGCTATCTTTCTCTAAGCTGGTTATTCTACGCCATCGAATTCAGCTGGGTCGTCCACAGCTACCATAATTCCAGACGAGGCTCCTCCGGGCTACGACGCACCTTCATATCAGCCATAATGCGTCCCACTTATGCCCTCGCGTCGCTTATTTCTTCTATCGCAGCCGGAATCGTAAACGGAACAAGAGGATAGAACTGTATTTTTTTTGTTGTAGTATGTCATATGGCTAAGGAGAGAATGTGTATTACTATTGATACTACAAAGTTACATATGCGATAACTTATGGAATCGACATCGTGACACAACGTTTGTGCAGATACCTTCCCCTCGATCAACTGAAACTAAGCCTAGAATACCGCTTCACGGCAGGAATCCCGATAGACTCCACCGACTCAACTTATACTACAAAAAGGAACTGCAACAATCATTCGTACCATCGGTAACGCTTAGGCGGAATCAACACATATATCGCCGTCTTGCCCATAGGGAACTTCGAGAGGCATAAGAAGCACTTCGAAAGGCTCAGTCTCTGGCGGTTCGACGCATATTTCCATACTATGACCATCTTCAACAACCCTTTCGTCCAGCGGTGGCGTAGATATCACTGGCAAGGCTAAAGCTGAAGAGCTTGGGGTAGAGCCAATGTTCGGCCCCAAACGCACAGCTAGTCGAACACCTCGTTTCGAAAAAAACTGGTCATTCCACTCTTGAATAGCATCCGAATTCACGACATCCAGCCGGGTGCGGTCGCCCTCCATCCATTCACGTTGGATATGCTAATTGAAACGATCAAAGGTCAAAAACATAGCAGCGCAAATGAAGACATGACAGCTCGTTACCTCCGAAAAAACCTTCCAATCGTCACCGGATACGTCTAGGCCAGAAAGCTCCTGCGGGCAGTCGCCAAATTCGCAGCTTTCAAAGTTCAAATAGTCTAGTACACGAAAACCCTGCGCAGGGACGAGCCACGTGCATCGCGAGTGTTCTACTGGCCTCTCAAACGGTGTTGGTGTAAGACGCTCGCTCATTGTGGAAGTGGTCATCTGTGAAAGTGTATCTGGAGAGGAAATAGCTGGCTCAACTTCAGGTGGAAGTGGTATAGCAGGTAGTGGTACCGTGGTACCCCCTGAAGGTGGTACGACACTGTTGTGATCGATGGTTGATTGTAACATTTTTATAGGCATGAACCCTGGTGGGAATGACGGGTGCGTAGTTGAGGGGATTGTTGGACCTGTAGCCACCATGGAAGGGACATGTATAGATGGAAAGCTATTTGTCGTACCCCCCGAAGGCGAGAAGCTGGTTTGTTGGACAGGTATTGGACGGAGCGCCATACGTCTTTGGTGCGACAGACTTGGTGATACCCACGGAGGCGTGAAATCAACATGATCGACAACTACAATGTCCGGGCTCTGCGGTGCGATATCTTGGAGTGGAGTGGTATCCATTGCCAGCGGTGACATGAAATACGGTCCTCCCAGGATTGTATCTGCGTGGGCAACTGGTAGGCCAGGTTCCAGCGATTCACCCATAGTGGATGAGTAGAGTGTAGCCTGCGGAATGGCCGCATGAATACCACTTATGCGTCCCAGAACGTCTTGAAGCTTCTGGCAAATTGGGCTCGCGGAGTTCAACGTTAATATCTGCAACATTTGGTGGGAGTTCCTGGCCTTATTTCGTGCTTCAGCCCCATGGTAATATGGCAATCGACGGTCGGTTCCTTGCTCCAAGGCTACCGCAATACTAGATAAGGTGATTGGAAGCAAGCTGAATGGTTGCTCATTGAGAATATGGGACAACGATCGATCCTCATTGACCCTTGTCCACTTGTCCACAAACATCAGCAGGGTCGAACAGAGATCCAAAGGCGTAGAGTCGTCGGTCTCTATGAGCTCTTTGGCACTCTCTAAGATGTCTCGTATAACTAATGGTGACACATGAGCGCTGAAACCAGACTAAGGAAGTTCGCCATAACTTACGCTCTGTAGAAATGTCGTCCAACCTCCAATGTTCCATTATAGTGTGGTACCGCGAAAAGAACAAGAGCATCTTTTGTAACGCCGGGCGACCACAAGCTGATAACCCTCTTAGCAGCTGGGCTGTGTTTGCCGCCGTTGACGGCCCAGGGTCTCTGGAGTTTCGAGAGCAGTGGTGAAGAGCGGCAAAGATGTACTCCATTGACCCC